TTTTTTTTTTGTGTTCGGTATGGCTCTTAACGGTGTGTGTTCCTGCGAAGGCTCATCAGCGAAAGCAGCAGGGAAAACAAAAGCAACGAAATCAAAGGAGGCACGGGAGAAAGAAACAAAAAAATTTTAATCATGGCTGATGTGCCGTTGAAGTCTCACGAAGGCAACCATGTTGGGGATGCCGTCTACTTCAACCACCCCACGGAGAGCTGGGTCCGCGGCACCATAACGACTATCAACCGCGTGCCCAAAAAGGACGGCTTCACGCACGTGCTGTACGGCTGTGCGGTGCTCTTGCGTGAGCGGTATCTGCCCGCTGTGAGCGATGAGCGTGCCGCCGCGCAGGTGTACCCGCTGCACGCTCATGATATTCACCACATTGTTGAGTCCTGCGTGGAGCCAGCACCTCACAACACTTTGGATGACCTTTTGGAGCTGTCGTACCTCCATGATGCGACGCTACTCGAGCAGGTGCGTGTGCGGTACTTTGAGAGTCTCATCTACACGCATATTGGCCCCATCATGCTCGCTCTCAACCCGTACGACTTCACACTGCCCAACTATACCGAGGACAAGATGCCCAAGTACATTGCGGAAGGCCCTGCCGTTGTTGAGGCGCGGTCGCATAACTTGCCGCATGCGTGGACGGTGGCGCATTATAGTTACTGGCTCATGTCCACCGATAACTGCAACCAGAGCATCATCGTCAGCGGTGAGAGCGGTGCGGGAAAGACCGAGACTGCAAAGATTGTTGTCAAATATATCGGTGCCGTTTCGACAACGCAATGCAGCCAGCAGGAGAAGTCTGGGGCCGCCGAAATCACCACAAAGGTCAATCTTACTTCCCCTATTCTCGAGGCTTTCGGTAACGCAAAAACCAAAAAGAATGATAACAGCTCACGCTTTGGGAAGTTCATGAAGGTGTTCTTCAAGCAGACACCCGGTGGTGGCGTCATGACGGGAGCATCGATCAATGTGTACCTTCTCGAGCGGTCACGTGTGGTGACGCATGGCCAAGGAGAGCGTGGCTACCATAGTTTCTACCAACTCCTCGCCAGCAACGGCAGTGCGGAGAAGCAGAGCCTCTTCAGTCGCCTTCATCTGACGTGCGCGGAGGATTACCGTTGCACCGCGACGGGTGGTGCCACAAAAATTGAAGGGGTGAACGATGCCGCTGACTTTGACGCTGTGGTACGCGCAATGGAATTCGTCGGCATGAGTGTTTCGGAGCTGAGCAACGTGTGGAACACTGTCGGGGCGGTGCTGCACCTCCTCTCTTTGGAGTTTCGTCCCGTGAGTGATGATGAGTGCTGCATTGATATGACGGCAAGGGATGCTGCAGTACATGTGCGGATGGTGCAGGAGTTGCTAGGACTCCCCGACGACACATTCTTTACGGAGTTGACTACAACGACGCAAGTCACACGCGGCGAGCGGATTGTGCGTAAGCTTCGGCAGGCACAGGCAGTCGACCTCTGCGAGGGTGTCGCCAAAGCTCTGTATGAAGCACTCTTTTTGTGGCTTGTGGCGCGCATCAATGAGTTGATTAGGCCACCACTTGGCGACAATGCTGCTGCGGTGTCGTGGATAGGGTTGCTCGACATATTTGGGTTTGAGAATTTTTCGCAAGGCAACTCTTTCGAGCAGCTATGCATCAACCTGGCGAACGAGACGCTGCAGAGTCATTACAACAGCATCATCTTCACACGTGACATTGCGGAGTGCCGTAAGGAGGGGATCAAAACGGACGGAGTTGTCTTCTACGACAACCAGCCCTGCCTTGACCTCATTTGTGGCACGGACTTTTCCCAGTGTGGGCCTGGTGGTGCGTCGCGGACGACAAACAAGCTGTCGATCCTGCACTTGCTCAATGAGGAATCGGCACTCGCGAAGGGAAGCGACTTGGCCTTCCGCGAGAAGGTCTGTGACGCTTACGGTGGCCGGCTGCTCGATGGAAAAGGCCGCCATCCCAACTTTATGCGGGTCAAGACGGACCGTAGCTCGTTTGTGATTAAGCACTACGCCGGCGAGGTGACATATAATGTTGAGGGGTTTCGTGTCAAAAACAGCGACACAACGAAGGAGGCGCTCAAGGAGGCGATTCGATCTAGCACGATTCCGCTCATCGCATCACTGCTTGACGGCCATCTTTCCGAGTCTGGATCCTCCGCGACGTCTACAGTGAGCAGCTTCTTCAAGAGCCAACTTGCGCAGCTCATGACAGAAATCAACGGCACACATCCACACTGGATACGGTGCATTAAGCCACACGGCGCGAAGAAGCCGCGCATCTTCAATGGCAGTGAAGTCATGACGCAGTTGCGCTCCGCCGGCGTCCTTGAAACAGTCAAAATTCGCCAAAACTCCTTTTCGGTGCGTCTCCCATTTGCAGAATTCCTGCGAGCGCACAAAGTTCTTTGGGGGAGTGTGCCACCGAGCATTGGAGGCCTTGGCCGTTTCACAGGCAGCGACTTAGGTGCTTTTCAAGCTCCATTTCCGCCAGGGCTCAGGGGCCGCGAGGCCGTGGCGGAGATATTGCGTCGCGCAGCCGTCGACTCTGTGCACAATGCACAAGTTGGAAAAACAAAAGTCTTTCTCAAGACAGAGGCATCGCAGCACCTCTCTTCCGTCGTGCGTGCAGTTCAGAAGGCTTGCACACTGGTATTTCAGGCTTCTACACGACAAACTCTCTCGAGGCGTACTGTACACATGCGGCTTCTTCGGTACCAGCTTAAAATGATTATGGCGGGGGTGAACTGTGTGTGGTCGCAGGTGTTGGCGCGCCGGAAAGAGCTGCGGATAAAGGAAATGCACCTCATTCAGAAATTCCGCGTCGTCCTCCTAATGCAGACAAACGAAATGGCGCGGCGTGAGGAATTCGAGGAAGAGCAGCATGCATCTTTGGCGCGTGTACTTGTGGTGGAGGCGGAGGACCGCGCTGCCATTCTACGCCGCTGGATGGAGCGGAAGCGGCAGGAGGACAGCGAGGCTCGTACGGCGTTCAGCATGGCGGAGCGAGGGGCCCGGTGCGCTGTTGAGAGCGAAGAGGTAGCGTGTCGTGAGCGGCTTCGTGACTACATGGAGTTTAACACACACGAGGAGGACGCGCGGGAGGAGGTGGAGCTCGAGGAGGCGACGGAGCGTAACTCTGTTCTCGGACGCGGACACAAACTCTTGCTGGAGCGTCTCATCGAGTACCACAAGCACATTGCTGAGGGGCAGAAGTCTGAACTCATCAAGTCCGAGTCTGCGCGCCGCAGCAGCGCTACAAAACTTGAGGCCGCCGCGTTTGACACAATATGTGCAATAATGAGCCTCATTCTAGCAGAGGTGTCGAGCCGGGCTGTGCTCATCTCCGACGAGGTGGAGGCGTTCACTGGGTACTGTAGCAGGCGCGCTGAAGAATGGTCAGTGGTGGAGCGGCATTGGTGGGCACGCAAATCCATCACCGATCGGCGTGCAGTTCTTTTGCTGCAGAAGGCTGAGGCGGAGGCCCGCCGCGAGGAGGAGTGTGCTCAGTTGGCATCGCTTGCGGCGCTGCTCGGAAGCGTGGCCGAAAATGAGCAACATGCGCGGCGCAAGGAGATGGAGCAACTTTCGATAGAAGAGGAGGAGAGAAAGCTGCTAGTAGAGGAGCAACTTTCCAGGGTACAGGAGATAGAACAGCGCCGTAACGACGCCATCAGGGAAGCGGCGCAGAGACTTTGGTGCAACTTCCTCGAGGACGAGCGGCTTGTGAAAAAGGCCAGAAGGCTTGAGGAGGACATAAAAGCCGCACGCACCGCCCAGGCGCGGCTAATGCGAGACTACACACTCATGTGCAGACGCAAAGAGGTCGAAAAGGGCAAGCTGGGTTCCAGTACCACGAACGTGAGCGAGATGAAGAAGCTCGAGGAGTACCGTCAGCGACAGAGAGGCCTCTCACAGTCAATCGCTGCTACCCAGAAGCTTTTGCTCGAAACCGAGACAAAGTTGATCGTCTTCCGCTCCGCCAACGGACTGCACTCCCTCACGCGGCGGGAACCATTGGTGGCTGCGGTGGCGTCGACCACCAACCCCGAGGCGCAAGCGGGTGCCTCGCTCACGCAGCTACGCCGCGTGTCGGTGAGCGGTGAGGGCTCCATGAACCTAATTCACCGCATGAACGTTACGAAGGGACTCGCGTGCGGCCGGGCACGAGAGTTCAGCATGACGCCCAGTACCATCGCTGCCGCCGACCGACTGGAGGCATACCACCGGGCGCGAGAGCGGCGTAAGTGCAACGCGTCGCTCAGCGGTGCGACCCCACTCCGCGCCCCGCGCAGCACAGTGTCGCCGTCACCGGCTGTACGCAGCGCACCGCCGATTGAGAGCTGCGTGCAACGGAACCCCTTCAAACCGGACTGGGCCCCGGGGCCACCCGACGCGGACGGATCGTACTGGGTGTTCACGCCGAGCGGTGAACAGGTACCGCTCGTCTCTGTAGAGCTTCACGACCCGACTGGTATCCACGTCTTGGACTCGGATCAGCTTGTGTACAAGTACTCGCCGGACCCCCATATCCCCGTGCTTTAGCCCTTGACTCCTTCACATAGGATCTGTAGCACGTTATCGTATAGCAAACAGTTTGTTTTGAATTGCCATTCTTGTCTGTGTTCTCTGTTGTCATTTAGGTGCGTAAGAGTCGTGCTGCAGTGGCAGTGACCCAATTACCGCTGCGCTTCGTTCAGCCGTGAAAATACGACGAATATTTGTCATTCTCTATTTCTGGTTTTCATCTACTTTGGATGCTAAGGAGATGAGGGCTGCTGCCTGTGTTACTTTTTATTTTCAGCTCATGTAGATGACGAAGAAAGGTTGAGTGGCGCGGTGCCTCTGTTGTCGGCAGCAACCCGGCGCCGTTCAGCAACCCGATCGAAGTGAAGGTTGCTCTGGAGGTGTTTGAGAAGCCTCCTGCCCATTCGATCGATGTCAAGTTCATGTGGAAGCCGATCTGGGACTTCCCGGTGGAGCAGGACCTCGACGAGTTCGAGGTTGGGCCGCTCACGACACTCGGCAAGCGCGAGCTGACGCTGCAGAGCGACCCGCCTGACTTCGCAAAGATACCCGACCCGACGGGGCCAACAGCGCTGATCATCTCCTTCAGCTATAAGGGGAGGGAGTTTCTCCACCTCGGCTACAACGCCGTTGTGACGTGCGAAGGGGACATACCAGATGTCTTCACAGATGCGGCGCAGCTGCGGCGCCACCTCATGCAGTGCTTTCCGAAGCAGCTGACAATCCCATGGGATGACGATGGTGATGATAAGAACAGTTTTGGCATCGGTGATGGTGCCCATGAGGAGGATAATGGTAACGCTAAACATGATGGTGATGATGATGATGGCAACGCTGTGGAGGGGCACACCTCTGATAGTGGCGATGAAGTCCCTCCCCTCAAGAAAGCCAAGTGTGACTGATGAGGTGCCGGCTATGTTTGAAAGTCCGCTGCGGCTTCTGCTGCGTCTACTGTTCTTCAGTTTTAGGCGCACCTCCCCAAGTAATGCCGCTCCTCGCTTTTTGGTCCCTCTCTCAAAACACTGCACAGCTAGCATCCTGTCACTATGTTGATGGTGATCGGCCCCGATGACTCTTCGTTGTTTGAGTGTGGGAAGTCGCTCGACGGCGACAGCGCACACCTCTCGCGGCAGCTGATGCTGTACGCCTCCTTGGATCTTCTGGATGATGTTATCTGGACGACAGGGGATTTTTTCCTCCCCGCGATTGACCGGCCATTTGATGGAAAGTACTGCGTGTCCGCGTATGCCGGCTTCGCGCCCGTTAGGCTGCTGCTGATGCAGGACCACGACCCCACCAAGCAGACACGAAACTTTCTTAACGAGGCGTACGAGTTGTGCGTGCGGTATCTTCTGAACCCGTTCTCATCCACCAGCGCCCCCATTCGCCAAACCCTGCGAGAGAAGCTGGCGCGGCTGTATGAACGCTTGCAGTAGAGATGGGCATCCTCACCAAGCGTGCACAAAGAGAGAGATAGAGTGAGAGAGAGAGAGAGAGTGTGTGTGAGTGAAAGAGGGAAACGGGTGTAGTCGCCGGCTTGCGCTTTGCTTCTATTCGTCTTATTCCCATCGTGGCGCTGTCTGGTTTTTTTTTGGGGGGTTTCTCTCTCACCGACAATTGCTGTTAGGGACACAAGTGAAAATAAAATAAATAGAAGCAAAAGGAAAGTGGCGCCGGGCGGACGCATGACATTTAATCCAGAAATCGTCGTGTGCGATGCGGCGGAGGAACTGAGCCGTACGGCCTGCAAGATGATCCTCGACATCGTGGGCGCGGCGGAGCGCAAGACGTGGCCGTTGTCCATTGCCCTCTCCGGCGGCTCCACGCCGAAGATGTTGTACACACGCCTGCACGACGAACATCTACCGCTGCTGCGGGAGGAGCGCGCGCTGCGCTTCTTCTTCGGCGATGAGCGGCTTGTCCCTGCCGATACCGCTGATTCGAATTACAACATGGCGAAGCAAGCACTGCTGCGCGACATCCCCGACGACCTCGTGGTGCCGTTCGATGTGAGTGGTCTCCACGCATCACCGCAGGCCACACGCGCAGACGCCGAGAATGCAGCAAACGCATACGAGAAGCGCCTCGCCGCGCTGCTCCCGCTGTGCGCAGTGGAGGGGACGGACGCGCAGGTCCCCGTCTTCGATATCGTCCTTCTCGGGCTGGGCGCCGACGGGCACACCGCCTCCATCTTCCCAGGCACGCAGGCTGAGCGCGACGATCACCGCGCGGTGAGTGTGAGCTTTCCCAGCGCAACGATGCGTCCGCAGGTGTGGCGAGCCACACTGACACCAGCGGCCATCACGCATGCGCGCCACGTCATTGTTCTGGCGACGGGCAACGAAAAGAAGTGGGTGCTGAACGGCATCCTGGCAGAAAGCCCCGCGGAGGCCCCCGTTTCACGGTTTCTTCGCAGCTGCAAAGGAAAGGTCACTTTCGTGGTCGACAGGGATATATCACTGGGGGTGCCGCAGTAGGCAACGGCTGAGCGTATCGCGCTGGAGGAGTTGTGGCGAGGCGTTCGGCACGCCTCACAATCACCAGCGCGGTACTCCCTCTCTGCCTATGCCCCCATCCGCCAAGTGTCGATGCAACATGAAGGCTGCTGGTTGTGGGTCTTCATTTTTGATCCACCTTTCGCATTTCCCTTTCGGTCCAACTTCTTATTTGCTTTGTTTTTTTTTTGTTGCTTCGCACCTATATGTTTACGTGCGTGTGTGTGTCTACGCTCGTACCTGATTCTGAAGGACTAGTAACAGCAGACAAGAAAGGATGAATAATGCGAGGTCGGAGCCCATCGATGTGGGCACGCCAGCCGAGCGCAATAAAGACGAGAAACAGGCACAGGAGTCGGATGTGACCGCTTGCGACCGGGTGACGAATGCTGTGGCACTACTCCTGGTTGCTGCTGTCATGGTAACGTCGGTTGTGTGCGTCGCTGCCGGTGCATGCTGCTTGGCGTCCTTGAAAGGGCTTCCATTCGAGCGCTTCGAACTCTTCTTCGCGTTTGGCGTCGCGCCTGTTGTGGCTGGTGTCCTCGTTCTTGTCACATCTGTGGCTGGTTTGCTGTTCATCATCTTCTGCGCAATGGGGCTTACGCGGTACGGCATGTGCTTCGCTGGTGGGTCGCGGTGGATGAAGGCGTTCAACGTGTGCGTGCTTGGCGTGTTCCCATTTCTTGTCTTCGTTGTGCTGCTGGTGTTCTGCATTCTGGGCTTCAGCTTCCACAGCCTGAGCCGGCAACTCCCGCCGCTGGACAAGGACTACGCGGAGGTGCCTGGCGTTACAGGTCCTGTTCACATCATCCGCGATGAGAACGGTCTTGTGCACGTGAAGGCAAGCAGCCGCCACGATGCGTACTTCGGGCAGGGGTTCGCGGAGGCACAGGACCGGCTTTTCCAGCTGGAGTTCCGCCGCCTGGTGGGGCTTGGGGAGCTGGCCTCGGTGGTGGGCGCCGGCGGCATCGCGGCGGACAAGGCAACGCGCACGCTGAACATCAAGGCGTCTGCGGCATCGCTTTGCAAGTATGCCAAGGCTTCTGATCTTGCGCTCCTGCAGGCGTTCGTGGACGGCGTCAATTACTACCTACAGCACGTGTCCAAGCGACCAGTGGAATTTTTTTTCATGTCGAAGCCGCTCTACTTCCATGAGCCGAAACCGTTCACAATAGAAGACCTCTGTGTGACAATGCGACTTGTGCAGTGGCAGATGAGCTCGAACATTAAAAAAGAGGCTGATCGCTTCTCCAAGTTCTTTACACCGCTGCAGCGCAACTACAGCCAAGTTGAAAGCCTGTTCAATAACTTTACTGGCGCCAACCACACCATCCTGACTGCGGAGCAGTTGAACTTGACAGACTCCCAATTGCAGGCCAACATCGTCAAACACAAGCGATCACACGATGGGGAAGAGGCCATTTACAACCAACTGCTGTCGATGGTGAGGAAGACACTTCCCCTCGGGAAGTTGGCACAGATACGTTCACCACAGGATTTTGTGGAAGAATCACTGAAGCCTGTGTTTTCTGAGGGGTTCTCTGCCAAGGGGTCCGTGAACGTATTCGCAAACAAGTACCTCCATGCGAGCAATGCGTGGGCGGCACGTGATGCCAAGAACCATTCGGTTGCTGCTTCCGATCCACATCTCCTGATCGAGTTACCGTCTGTGTGGTACTACATTCACCTGAGTTTCCCTGATGAAGATGGCGAACAATACGACACCGCCGGTGTGGCCAAGACAGGTATTCCTGGAGTCCACATTGGCAAGACCACTTATGTGTCGTGGGGCATCACCATGAGCTTGACGGATTTGGAAGACCTCTTTGTGATTGCCAACGTACAGGATCTCACAAAGGCACCGACCAGCTACATGTATCGTGGCAAGGAGCGGATGTTGGTTCCACGACGCGAGCGCATCGCCGTTCGTGGCTCGAAGGATGTGGTGCTGGACGTGGAGGATACACTGTTTGGTCCTGTTGTGAATGAAATGGTTGGAGGTGAACGGCTACCGGCAGGCATCAAACTCGCTCTGTACGCTGTGCCGCTGCGCCACGACGACAAGGAGTCCATCTCTGTTCTGTTATCATTGTCTGACCCGGCTATCAAGACGGCACATCAGCTCATGACCAGCCTGCTGAATCTTCGCTCACCGGGCTTTTCTATTCCTATTGCGGACCGGGAGGGTAACATTGCATACGCGGTGACCGGCAGGCACCCGATGCGCACCGTTGGGCACACCGGTAAGTACCCTTGTGTGCTGCTGGTCACCGGTAACGACACGTACGTCTCCGATGACCCGAGCGTGGAGGACAGCCTCGTGCCCCCCGAAGCCAATCCGCACTTTCACAGTCCCGCTGACGGAAAGCCGATGCACATCTCCGCCGCAAACCAGAAGATATACCCTGATGGCTACCCTTACGAGCTTGGTTTTGACTTCGCGTGGTCGTACCGTGGTAGACGCCTCCATGAGCTGCTGGACGCGTTGCAGGTGGAGGATGGGGGAAGTCAACTGGCAAACATCACGCGGCACAGACAAATTCAACAGGATATTCGGAGCAATATTTGGATGCAGGACTTCCGACCCATTGTCAAATTGTTTACTGTATCCACCGAGAGTACCTCCACGAAGCGGTGGCACGAGCGGCTGATGGCGTGGGATGGGCAGGCAAGCATCGGGAGTCAGGAGGCCGCCTTCTTTTGGCGGTGGCTGCAGTCGCTGTCGGTGCTGCCGCTGGACACGCAAGGCTCAACCCCGGCTGAGCGCTATGTGTGGCGAATGTTGTCGCAGCGTGATTCGGTTATGGACACGATTTGCGTCGGGTACGCGGCGCAGATGAAGACCAAGCCGGTGACTGACTGTATGCAGCTTGCTTTTGTCATGTTCAAGCGACTGGCCGAGACGAATTTCCAGGAGCGCTGGGGCATTGATATGAACCGCCTCACTGGTGTGCACACCATGCTACACGAGAAGATCCTTCGCCCTGTCTTCGAGCGAACCATCGAGAAGGATGGCGACATGTCATCGCTCTGCGTCTCTGGGAACAACATCACAGGAGATCTAGACAGCACGCAGGCGAGCTCGATGCGGCAACTGTACGACATGCAAGACCCGGACACCATGTACTTCGCCATCCCAGGGGGCGAGAGCGGCAACCCGTACTCGGAGTTCTACCAGAACCTGCTGGATAAGTTCGCCAAGCGTGACTACGTGAAGGTGGCAACCTCGGGGAGAGCCGTCAACGAACTGCAGGCAGGCGGCCGAGCCAGGCACCACCAAGTACTTTCCCCATGAGGACCTCGCCGCAGACGACAACCGCGGAGACGCAATTTTGTACCGCACGAGCACTTGGGTAAATTAAATGTGTGACTTAATATTTTTTTTTTGGTTACTTGGGGGGCTATTAAAAAGAAAAGCAAAAACTACTATGATCGCCATTTTTTTTTCTCTCCTTTTACCTCGTACGATTTTTTGTGGCCTTATGAGATACCTTTCCTTTACTTTTTAAAATCTACTTGATAATATTTTGATTCCTTCTCGTATTGTAGCGGACTCGGCCACGTTCCGGGGAAGCAGACGATGTGCGGCGGGAGCGCCACCCCCACCGCACGCGTTTTTCATGGGTGATTATGGCTATTTCGTGCAGGTACATTCTGCACGATGAATGAGAGACTACTGAGAGGGGCGATGAGGGACTACTGGAGCACGTGTTTCCCTTTCTGT